TCTCTCTCTCTCTCTCTCTCTCTCTCTCTCTTAGTTTGCAGATACTGAGAAGTCAGGTGGCAAGAGGGTGAGGGAGAGATGGTGGACTTAGAAGAGGAAGAAGAATAACTCTCTCTCTCTCTCAGTCCAGTACTAATTTGTGAAGGTGGCGTCTTGTTGCAGGTACATCGAAGACGAAGCTGGAGCTATGGCGCCATAGGTAAGTCTCCCTGGCCTCCACCAACCATCTCTCTCTCGCCCAGCATTGAAGACTACTCCTAACGCTACTACTCCAGAGTGCTGCTGCCGAATCCTGAGGACTGCCTCCTGCCTCCTGCACATGAAGTGCCCGTGAACTACCCATGAACTGCCCGTGCCTAAATGCCTGGCGGACCAGTTCGTTATAGTGCTGGTCCGGCTAGGAGGCTGCTCTTGCCCATGCCGAATCGTGCCAGACCCTGCCGCTGAAGTCCAAAAAAAGGTTGTCTTGTAACGGCCCTAAGAATGGCCTGCGCTTATCCCTGGCCTGGCACCTAAGTTTCAGGGGAGGTAGACTTGATGAGGGCCTAAAAGTGGCCTGCGCTTATCCCTGGTCTGGCACCGAAGTTTCAGGGGGGGTCGACTTGATGAGGGCCTAAGATTTGGCCCTCCTTTTCAGGCTGAAAAGACTCAGGGCCTGGAGGGCCCTTTTTAGGCTGAAACGTCACAGGGCCTGGAGGGCCCTTACTTTTGCCTGGTCGGGTCCTGCAGGGCCCGTGTGGTGCGTAGCATGCCCCACACACACACAAAAAAAAAAGAAACAGTTTGCACATATTACAGCGCTCGGTTCTGCAAGTTCACTTGCTACAGTGGTCGAGCCGGTGGCTATGGCGGACCATTGGAGCCCAGCTCAAATGTCCAAAGGACAATGCAAGGCTACCATGCCTTTCCTACTGTTACCGCCATGCCACATCCCATCTCTAGAGACTTCCTTCCAAGTACATCCCCACTTGGGGGCCGTCCAGCAGCCGCGCCAACGAAGAAAATGAAGATGCAAACCACCATAGCCAAGGAAAGCTCCCTTCTTCAGTCTCCTCCTTCTTCCTCCTCCTCCTTCTTCTTCTTCCCCCTCCCTCATTTCACCTCCACTGTAGCTGAGGTGAGGGCCAAGCTCCGCCTCCTTCCTGCAACCAGCGCTTCACCCCACTGGAGAGCGCCTCCAACAGCTTTGTGGCTTGCAACTGGGAGAATGAGGCTGAAGCCTCCAATGTCTCCCTTGATATACCAGACTAGTACCTCTTCGCACGGGCCATGCCGACTCCCAGGACTTCCGGTTGCCTCCACCCATTTGGCGGGGACATCATTGCAATCTGATATCCTACTTTGTAGGCTTCAGACCTAGCCTACTGGACCAGTACCTACCCCTAAGCCTGTCGGGCTCTAAAATGCTAGCGCGGCCCACTCGCAGGTACTACCTTGGGGCTTCTTTTTTCAGGAATACAAAAAAAGGTACTACCTTTTTGTCTTTTTCTGATACCTTACCCGCTACAACTTAAATCTGGCCTCCACGGGCCTCCTTCACCCTACTGTACCCGCTCCCACCTCGAACACACACGGCCATGGGTTAGCACCAGGTCCACGGGCCATTCCATCTTACATACCATCCCCAGTGATCCACACACACACACACACACACACACACACACACATTGTGGGTCGGCATGGAAGGCTTTCCCAGTTTTTTCGGACCCTTAGCAAGGGGGCTCGGTGCATTCTTGCTGGAGGAGTCTTATGTCTTAGGTAAGTTGTATCTTATCTTCTTCCTTCTTCGGCAGTGATGTGACGAACTACTTTCTGCAACCGCGCGATCTTCTGCGCGAGGCTACGTCGAGGGTTGAAACAGGTTGAGTCAGGATGGCCTGGTGAATTGCATGGATGTCCTTGCCTTACTCGTCCTTGTGCGTTCGCGTCCTTTGGGAAAGGGATGAGGGCTGGCCTGGTTCCGTGACAGTTGGTAGTTGATCGCGCCTTAGCAAGCGCGACGAATAACTGTTGCCATAGCTTCTTTCTTGTTCTATGGTGGGAATGGGGAATTTTTGGCGCAATAGTCGCACGGGAAATCTTTTTGAATTTTCAACTGATGTCAAGCCCTCATGGGCTTTCGGGAATTGCTTCGTTCGAAAGAATAGAATTAGGAATTTAGGCGCGCCTCAATTTCTGTTGCACTGCGCTTCTTGCTTGCGCACGCCATGCCCCATCAAGATCTGTGCTCTGATTTCTCAGTGCCTTGATCCTGAGTATAATTGTAAATTTTGTTTTGGCGGGCATAATTGCAACTGTAATTCCCTCGCTCTTTTACCTTTAGTGGCGCCTCCGTGCGCGCGTACTTCTTCCTCTGTCCTATTGGCCTGAACGCATGCATGAGCAGATCGATGTGTGGAGTGAGGCTACGTCCCCCACGTTGTGGCCTGGCCATGCAGTCGTAGGCACTCCCTTCCTCCTTCCCTGTACTCGGACACAATCCCGGGTATCGTGCACACACGCATGCATGCTATAAATTTCGTACGCGCAATTAACTTGCTCTCTACGCATTTTTTGGAAGTTAGCACGGTCGAGAGGATCGACTAACGAGTGGAAGCTGGCAGGTGAGTAGAGAGTTGGACGATCCGACGAGCTGATGCTGAGCGTGCGAGGTTGACGTGGGGCCACGACGGACTGTGGCACATGGGCGAACCTGGCTGACATGCTTGGATCAAGCCGAGTGATAACTTTGTGTGGGTGCGAGGCGACGGACTGCCCGCATCGGGATGATGAGAAGAGAGAGAGAGAGAGAGAGACGAGAGAGAGAGAGACGGGAAGTGTGCGATGAGTTTCTTCTTCTATCCCTCTAAGCCATTTTGATTCCTCCTTTTTCCTTCTGAGCAAGTTTGGTATTCGGCGCAAGTCGCCCCTCTTTTTTCCTTTCTGGATCGGCCTTTCGGACTTGTCATTTGCTCTTTTCTGTTGATGTGTATGTTTCCATTTTCTCTCCTCGGGTGTTGATGAATGGTTGTCTCCCTCCCCTCCCCTTCTCTATCTCTTGATGGGTCTAATTGATTGATCCCCAACGATTGGCCCTTGCGTGATTTCGGACTGATGGGCCAAGGAAGTGTTGCATGAACCTCGATTCAAAACTAGTTGCATGGATGATAGGCGTAATCCTGCTTGTGCATGAATTGGATAGGCATAATAGACTATCGAAAGGATGTCTCATCATAGGATGATCCGTCTTGCGAGCCATTGGTTTCCGCCCCTCTGATCGAAGGACACGGCTCGCGTATACGCGTGTAAGTTCGGTCGGAGACGATCGCTGTCTACTCGCGCGTCCGCGAACCCTGAACTCGACTAAAATCTCGAATGGCCGACGTTCCACCCCAACTTGCAACATGAATGTCGACGCCCCCATTTACATCATTGGTCGTGAGTGTTTGAGGGATCGAGAATTTCGGGGATATTGGGAGCACTCTCGCTTGTCTGCACGGCCCAGGACGGAACCCCTGAACTTCCCTTACTTAATGGGGAATGAACGAATCTGCGAGTGGGACCTCGACCAGGCCTTGGGACGTATTCCCTATCTCCCCCACTACCCTAACCCACACACGTGTCACGTCGTCGCGAAACCCGGGATCATCATCATAGGGACCGAGTTCCCTCCCTATCCTACCCTACCACTCCCTCACCATCGTCCCTTGGCCCGCCATCGCCCCCTACTGGGCCCAACCCCCGTGCTCGGAGTGCCTGCAGGACCACGAATATTGAGCTTCCGGCTTCATCCGGCGAATCCGCTCGGAGGAAGAACGACGAGCGCACAGCCTTCGGCTAAGGCCAGCCGCGTCGGATTCCGAGGCCTATGACTTTCGGCGCCGACAGTTGGTCCATCAGCGAGATAGCCATAGCGTCCCGACGGTTCACCAGATA